AAAAAGAGAGAGTGAGAGAGAGAGAATTTTAATATTTATTTTTTAGTTATCGGGGACACAACATCTTTGTTTGTATGTGGTGCTGAGGATCGAACCTGGGCCGCACGCATGCCAGGTGAGCACGCTACCGCTTGAGCCACATCCCCAGCCCTATCAAGCATCTTTTAACAAGCACAATATAAGCACTCACTACATTGCCATGATTAGTGATATTCTTAGACCTTCTGGTGTTGACACACAATGTCCTGTTTCTGTTTTCACTTATGTAACCATGTGACTCATATTTGGCCTCATGCTCCACTGGTCTCAGTAATAGAATTTTGTCTATAATGCTGCTTTTAATTGACATCTTTAGTAGAAAATAAAATGCCAACCAATTTATTATAAAAGGGAATCTAATTTAAATGACAAAGAATCTAAGGGCAAGAGTATACCAGACCTTAGAAATCACTGGATCCAGGAAGTGGAAACCTATGGGAAATCCAATCAGGGGTGTCTCTTGACTCTTTTTCTGTCCATGTGTCTATATCATGCCTCGTTTGTGGACTGGTTGCTTGTTGGTATAACCACCAGCATACAGTGCAAAAATATACTTGTTGTAAGTCATTCCTAGATAACTTATTTCCATTTTTATATCCCCTCTCCACCTTTTTCTTTCCTTCATGTCCTCCAAATTTCTGGATAATTAACTCATCTTGGGGATCAGGGATATACCATTCATCCAGTCAAGTATGGCCAGAGGGGTAGGGTCATGTTCTGGCACCAAGTTTTTATTCCATGGATGGGAGAAAAGGGTCCCATGTGAAAAACTAAAGATGTTGCTGTGTGCTGTGAAGCTATTCTCAAGGTGACATCAAATCAGAATAACATGGGAACAGAAGGGTTTTATTGTGAAACTGTTTTCAACATGCACAAGAAATAAAGACATCCATATAATGAGCCCCAGACATAATCACTCAGGGTCAGACATAACACTTTAATATATGTCTCCAAAATTTATGGCTTAATTCACATAAATATATTGCCACTACTTCACCTGAAAAAAATTAAACATAATTCCTTGATATCATCTAATATGGAACCAATGCTTAAGTTTCCCCAATGGCAGGAATTTTCTTTTTTATATTTAATTTTTTCAAACCAGAATCCAAACAAGATACTCATAAATCTCTTTCAAATTAGAGCTGGCCTCACCCCATATCTGACTAAGTTCTTATGACTTATAAATAAACAAATTCATTGTTCTATTCAGGAATTGTATTGGCTCATCTGCTTCTTCATAATGCATTCTAATTTATTGCTTTGTTCCCATAAACTAGAAGTTAGTTATAAGGGTATGATTAGTTTCAGGATCAATTTTTTGGAAAACATCCTTCATAGTAGTGTTGTATGTTTCCTGCTGCATCAAAAAATAAGGTGCTCAATGTCTGGGTAACCTTCTATTAGGGATGCAATGGGTTCAAGCAGTAAAAGTTTTATCCATCTCTTGGAAAGGTAATTATTAAATGTTTTCCTAAAGTTTTCATCAATTGCTGCTGGGTAGGGTTACACACACATGTAGTCCCAGTGACTTGGTAGACTGAGGCAGGAGGATCACAAGTTCAATGCCAACCTCACCAACTTATCAAGGTTTTGAGCAATTTAACAAGACCCTGTCTGTAAATAAAATATTTTAAAAAGGGCTGGGGTTGTGGCTCAGTGGTTAAGCACCTCTGATTTTAATCCCCAGTACCAAAAAAAGAAAAAAGAAAAGACATGCCTTTTTACATTTTTTAAATTTTCAATAAAGCAATTACATGATTTCGTATTCAAAACTATATAATAAGTTTCACTTAGAGAAGTCTCACTTGTATGCATGTTTCCTCCCTGTCCTCATAGATAGACTTCTTATTTTTACTTGGTTTTAATTCTATTCTTCCAGTGGGTTTTGTGCAAATTTGAGAAAATATAAAGATTGATATATTTGTTGATATGTCCCATACTTTACATGCTATTATGAGCTTTACTATTCTACCTAAACTATGTATTCTAAAGATTGGTCCAAATGAGTATATAAAGATCTTCCTCACCCTATTTTAGCTCTGTATAGTAATATTGCATTATTTAGATGCATTTCAGTTTATTCACTTAATCTTCCATTCACCAGTCTTTGGGTTGCTTGTAATCTCTTCCTACAATATGCATGAATCTTTTTCTATTTTTGTCTGTGTAGTTTTTTTTTAGATTCCTAGAATGGAGATTATTCTATTAGAAGATAAATATAAGTAACTTTACTAGCTATCGCCAAGCTCTCTTCAATTGGAGTTGCAACCATTTAGTATTCCAACTAATAATGTTGTAGGGACAAAGAGGCAAGGCACTGAAGATAGCAGGAAACAGTTTTATTTGGCTGCAGCCAGGTTCAGAGGGAACAGCTTTTGCTGTAATCAATCAATCCCCTGAACCCCGAGTTCAGGTAGTTTCAGATTTTTATACCCAGCATGTAAGGGGAGGGGCTCAGAAGTTCACAGTCTGCAGAAATTCACATAAAAGCAGCTTTTTCTTTCACTATTTCAGGCAAGTTAACCCTTCCAGGACAGCACCTGGGAAGGGGAGAGCTTCTTCTCCCCTTTCTTTCTTCCCCTGCCAGCTGTTACTATGGAGCCAAATTGGTAACTTATCTTAAAAATATAGACATCTCTCTGTGAAGCTCAGCTCAAGGCCAGAGGCCTTGTTTGCACATTTCTACAAACTACTATATTGGATATGATTATGAAAAACTAGTAAGGGGGTGTCCAGCACCTAGAGTGCTGATTTCTTCCTGGCCAGTGGCCAAGTAAAATAGGGCAATATGAAAATAGGAAGTTTATCTACATTGAACTCTTTTACATAGACTCTTTTGTTGCCAGTCCTAAAATCAGCCATGGTGAAGATTTCTGGAGAAACCCAGTTTTCTGTGGGAAAAGGGGGTGCCATTACAATAATACATGAGAAATTCTATTTACTCCCACCATGACCAATCCAATATATTTTCAAGCTTCTTATTTTTACCAGTATAAATGAGAGATGTTACTTCTGTATGGGTTTAATTTGCATTTCTCTTGTTATAAGTGAGGATGGGGAAGTAGGTTTTCAGTAAGGAAGAAAAGGCAAGAAAGCCCCTGTGATAGCGAATATCCTGAGGATACATTCAGTCATTTCCTCTTTTATGTCAAAAAACACCTTTAGATATACACTCCATGCTTGTATAAGTATGTCAAAATAGACACTACTGTCGTGTAAAACTAAAAATAATAAATAAAAAAAACTTAAAAACAGGCATATTGAAAATATTATATTTTTAAAAATCTTTTATTGATTTAATTTTTTTAAATACATGAAAGCCGTGGAATGCATTATTCTTATTACACATATAGAGTACAATTTTTCATATCTCTGTATATAAACATCTAAAATATTATACAAAACGACCTTCGTTTATGTGTATAAGGTATATATGAAACATAAATAAATTTCTTGCTAAAAGTGTGAAAAAAATATTTACCCCAACTTGGTACTAAATTTACTCTTTCATCAATGATTGTTTTCTTGGCTACTACCATAATTCCCAGTAAGCAGCGTATTATCCAAGGTCACACAAGAAAAGTTATATTTGAAAGCATATCTCTCTTCTAACAAATTAATTGATCAATGTAACTCCATTATACCAAATAATGGATCAATGGGACTTCCAAAGAACAAGGATCTGTTACAAGGAAATTCCATGCAGAAAATATCACAAGTGTGTTGTAAGCAAAGTAACAAGATGAAGAACACATCTGAGTTAAGAAGGTTAAAGGATAGTCATAAACATAGCTCTGTTTTTAGATATGTACTCAAGATACATAGTGATTTCCAATAGATATTTTAGGGAGGCAGTGAGTAAGGAGGGGAATTCATATTTTGTTTATAAAAATTGACTTTGTGTGCTGGTAACTGAGAGAGAAAGGCAATTGAATTTGAAACACTAAATGACAGATATGCTTGCATAAGCTTATTCTACCTGAAATTGATTAAAAGCAATTGATAATACATAGATCAGTGTAGTTTTTTTTTTTTAAAGGCCTTTGAAATTACTTTAGGGCTAACTTTGATTCTCAGATAACAGAAACCACACAATTACCTACCTTCTCAAGATTGTCAGCTGATCAAGGTTGGAAAAATTCTGCAGGAAAAATAAAAAAGAATGTTCACATCAAGTAGGAGTTTTAAGCAGAATAAACATTTTGTCAGATCAGATAGTCTTTTCTTGGTCTTTCTTTATGGGACACATCACTGCTAGCCTTCAGAATGGGGACTCAAAGGACCTGAGGGTCTCCAAACCCAGTTCTAGTTTCTCTCTCTCTCTCTCTCTCTCTCTCTCTCTCTCTTTCCATCTGGAAAAAGCATCCTTGCACTGTCTTGCATAACCAGATATTTCTCTCAGCTGCTTCTTTGTTCATTAATGGATAGAATTCTGTGCATGGAAAGTGCTGTTTTTTCTCGTGGTGTCCAATTGCTTTCTATTCCCTTTGATGTTTACATTTTTCATGCCATTTCACTTGTAGAAGTGCTCCTCATTCAACTGGCCATTATGTCTGAACACATCCAACTCTTTTAGCATCCAAATGCTTTTTGAATATCCATTCTGAGCTAAGCTAGCCTAATGAGCGGCAGCTTTGGCAGAAAATGGGTATCCATTAAAGGCAAAATCAGTGGTGTGTTCCTTGGAAAGAAAAACCAAGAGCCAGAGAAGGTAAAAACTGATGGTAGGTGGTGACATATAAACTGCAACACAGTTTCAGGGAGTTTGTCTTCAGTGTTGCAGCCCCTGTCATGGCATCAGATTCCACTGTACTCGAATGTGTTCTCACGTGCTTGTGTGTGAGTCACTTATAGGCTAACATGGGTTGGTCACTTTATCACCCACACTATTCTCATTTCCTGAATCTTGTGAAGCTCACTGAGCTCCATTGAGCAACCCCATCTCCTTCCCACCCAACTAGAGGAAGAGGTATTTCCACAAGCCTCCTTAAGCCAGCTGCCTCCTCTTCCCTGTTCAGAGCCATCCCGTGGCTTGGAGTTGGATTTCAGGTTAACAGGCCACTAAAACACAAGAAGGCTCTTCATGGATCTACCTTACTACCATGGCCCTCTGACCAAGCGAGACTGTGAGATCTTATTGCTCAAGGAAGGAGTGGATGGCAACTTTCTGCTAAGAGACAGCGAGTCTGTGCCAGGAGCCCTGTGCCTCTGTGTCTCGTGAGTAGCCTCATTTTCAGCACATTAGAAATCTGGCTTTGGTTGCAGTAATGGCAGCCACATAGTCAAGGAATTGTGTTTCACTGTGCTGCAGCCCCAAATAGCTAGAAGCTTCCAAGACAGGACAGAAGGGATGTGCCCATTGCTCTTCTACCTGCTCTCCTTTCCCTGGTGTGAATACCACATGAGCAGACTCTGTAGCAGCAGAATTGGCACTGGTGGGAAGGAAAAGGAAAGAAAAACATGTGAGATAGAGAGAAGGTAGAAATGTCAGAAACATCCTCTCCTTCACAGGTCTGTTTATTTGGTATGGAGAAGGGGCCCCTTATAAAATTCCAATCTGAAAGATTGTATTTCTGCTACAGCCTTTTTCAAACTTAAAAATACAAGTGTTTCATGTTTTGTTAGATTGTAAAGGGCTTAACCATAAATCATTTCTTTTCATTTTTCTTGTGGTATATCAAGAGAAACAGAAGCAGTCAGCATTTTATCAGTAAAGAAACAGAAACCCAGATTTCTCAAATGACTTTTTAGTATTAAAATTTAGCTGGTATTTCCAGAGTCTATGCTAAGTGTAAGATTCTAAGCCAGAATATCAGAGGTATTTTGATGAAAGAAATTGTTTACACTCAATTTAGAAAGTCATCCTGAACAGATATCAGTGGAGATTCCCTGACTTTGTATATTTTCCCGTTTATAAAACTAAACCCTTTATTCTACCTATGAAAAATTAAAAATCAATTGTTTTCTGTTATAGTGAAATTATTCATTGACACTTGTTAGAGCATGGCGAGAAAAACTTTATTCAGATCACTTGACCACTGCAATTGGATTTGCAGCAGGAAGAGGGATGGAGCTCAATTTTGAATGCAGCATTGGGCAAGTGAAAATGTATAACAAAGGAGTAGAGTCAGTGGATGGAAAAATTGCTAAGATAAGAAGAATTACAGCCAAACTAACCTAAAAGGATTCTAGGGGAAGACAGGCCAGAGTTATCATACATCAACTGGGGTGTGCTGGCAGATGAAGAACCTGATCAGACATTAAGGCTGATCAAATATTGAAGATAAGCGTTCTTGCTAAATGGACTTAGCAGAGTTCTTTGATAGCTGACTTTTATAAGGAAATACACAGATGGGCTTAGGAGAAGGTTCAGAAGCCTGACTAAAGTCTGGCCAGGCAAAGAATCTTCATCATTCTTTGGATAAGCTTGTGTGCTTCTTAGAACTTGAGAACTGTAAAGACAAAAGTGACTATAAATACTAAGAGAATATATAAGGATATGTTCGATTCTTTAAATGGTGTTGGAGATACAGGCATGAGCCTGATAGCCCTAAGGTGTTCTCAGTTTACATTTTCAAGTGAAAAGTGATGATGAGAAAGTTTTTATATACATTTTTAGCCATTGGTAGTTTCTGCTTCGGTTTGTCCCTTAAGGGTTTGTGTGTTGGAAGGTTGGTTCCCAGTGTGGCAATGTTAAGAAGTAGTGGGACCTTTAAGAGATGAGTAAGAAATAAGACTACCCAGAGGTAATTAGTGTTGAGCAGAGGAAATTTATGCTCATACTGATGCAGGCTTCTTAACCAGTGATGTAGCTCAAGATTTTACTAATAAAAATTTTCTTCAGAGTTATGATTGCACAAATTGGGAAGGGTCTCAGTGTCTCTAGGAGGGAATCTATAACATCAGCAAAATTCTATCAGGCAAGATTGGATAAATCCACATATGTTATGAAAAAAAAAAAACTCCAAGATTTATTGTTGTTGAAAAGACAAGGGGAAGGAGGGGGCATGGGGGTTATAAATGATGGTAGAATGTGATGGACATTATTATCCAAGTACATGTATGAAGACATTAATTGGTGTGAATATACTTTGTATACAACCAGAATTATGAAAAATTATGCTTTATATGTGAAATAAGAATTATAATGCATTCTACTGTCATATATAAATAAAAAAAATTTTTTAAAAATAAAAGCCAAGCTGCAAAATATGACCCTATTTGAGTAAAAAAAAAGAGAGAGAGAGAGAGAAAGATTGTGTTAGTCAGGCATAATCTCAATGGCGTGTAAAGCTGAGGCAAGAGAATCACAAGTTCCAGTTCAGACTCAGCAAAATTTAATGAGAATTTCTCTCAAAATAGAAAGGACTGGGATGTAGCTCAGTGGTAGAGAACCCCTGGGTTCAATCCCCAGAGTAGGAAAAAAAATGTCTGGGGAATTTAGGAGTGATTGGGAGAAGAGTGTCAGGTTCACTTTTTCATTGATAACTTATTTGCACTGTTTACCTGTTGTACGTAGGCATCTGTTTCTTTTTTCATTTTTAAACAAAAAATTGTTTTTAATAGTTTATAAAAAATGTAGTGACTCCTCACTCTCTACCCAAACATTGTATTTCTGGGGGAAATTCTACAGGAATTTCAATATAGTACTTGTTTTTGTTTGTTTGTTTGTACTGGGGATTGAACACAGAGTCACTTAACCACTAAGCTCTTTTTAGTTTTTTATTTTGAGACAGGGTCTTATTAAGTAGTTTAAGCCCTCATTAAGTTGCTGAGGCTGGCTTTGAACTTGTAATCCTCCTGCCTTAGCCTTCCAAGATGCTGGGATTATATGCATGTGCTACCATGCCTGGCGCTTTTTTTTTTAGGCAGTCCAAAATGTCTTAAATAAATAAAATAAGGATAAAGTAAAATTCCCAGAAAAGAGACTTTTTATTTAAATTTAAGGACAGAATAGATGATCAGGAAAGTCTTCCTAGGTAGATTGGAGATAGGACTTAGAGTGGATGCAATTTGGTTACAAGGAAATGAGGTGGAATGCATTTTTAGGGAGGGGAGGTGGTAGCAATATCCAAGTCAGATATTTTTAAGCACATACAACTTATATGCAGGTTACTCAAAGGTAGTTTGAAAACCAGATTTTTGAAGAGTAGGTTGGGATGAGATCAAGGAATTTAAAAGGAATAATTCTGTAGTAAATAGGAGGCACGAATGGCTTCTGAGCAGGGAAGTGCCAAGTTTTAGGAATTTCAAACTGACATGGAGAATGGACTGAAGTGGGAGATGATAAAAACAGAGATTGTCTTGCTTTTGGACGGGAGATAGTAAAGAACTCGATATGGTGAGACAAGTGGAAATGGAAAACACAAAAAGAAGTTGCAAGAGATGTGCCAGAGATAGGACAAACCTTGACCAGTATCTCAGAGACCATGGTCTGTGCTGGGATTCTCTTTGAAAGTGGCATTTATTCTCAGCTTCTCTGCAGTGTATCAGGCCAACTTACATATTCATTTAAAGAAAACGTCACTAAGACATGCTAAAAAAATAATAAATCAAATGGAAAGGCAAGAATAAATACTTATTGGGTGCCTGCACATGGTCAATTCTTGCCCTCCTCTCTCTACCCATGTCACTGAAAATTAGGCAAAATTTCATGCACCCTCAGGCATAAGGCTCAAGTCAAATGTCCCCATGTATATCTCATTGTGGTCCTTGTAAAAGTTTATTATCACCCAGATCAGTAAGGACTACTCAATTTGGGTTGTTCAACAATACTTTGAAATCCCCCAAACACTCAGTTAATGCCTTCAACATAGGTCAGATCCTAGTAAGGAAAATAAGAAGTAAACACAGTTGTTTCTGACAATTGTGATGACTGGACTATCATTAGGGCACTCTGAGAGCTGAGAGCAAAGAGTGACTTATCTATCGAGGAGTGAAGAGCAAGACATTACTAGATACAGGAGTTGGAGGAGGAATGGAACCTTCATTTATTCATTCAACAAGCAAACACTAAACACCTGTTAGGTTCCAAGTATGGTCCTCAATATTGGTAAAACAATGATACATTCTAGAGGCAATGTTTATGGTCTTATGAAGCTACATTCCAGTAAGAGGAGACAATTTGATGAAAACAAAAAGCTTTATAGCCAGGAGTTATAAAAAGTTATAGCACATTCCTGTAATCCCAGTGACCTGGGAGACTGAGACAGGAGTATTGCAAATTCAAGGCCTGTGGCATACAAACCATGTCCAATCATAATAAAATTTGTGTAAGCAAATCTAAAATTACAATATAACATAAATATTAGCCTGTTTGTCTACATGGTTTTTCTATATAGAAAGAGCCACCACATAGGTGTTTCCTATGAAGCAAACATTATGCTAAGCATGCTACATGGATTATCTCCTTTGTCTTTTGCAAAGTTCTTTGAGATAGGTGACATTACCTCTATTTTGTGTAGAAAGAAACTAGAGCTTCTGATTTAATAACTTGCCCAAGGCCAAACTGTTAATATGTTTTTAGGTACTTTGCCTTTACCCATATCCCCTGCTCCACTGAACTATGTTCAAGGTGGTCACCTTGGAACCAAGCAGAGAACTTGAGGGCTCAGCAGTGTACCCTAATGTGTAGAATCTTGTCTTTCTGCTTGCTAGAGATGAGCAGCTCCTTCTGCTTTGCTGCATTAGAATGGCAATATGTCAACTTCCATGTTTTCAGAGACCTAAACAAGGATACTACAGTGAAGTTAAAAGCAAAGGAAAGAAGTCTCAGAGAGTATTTGCCTGGTGGCTAATAGCACTGGCCAGAAAGCTATGTGGTAAACATGGACAGGAAATGGTATCTGATCTCACAACATGATAGATTGTCTAGAAAACCCCGACACACCAAACACCATCTGTATTGTGTGACTTTGGGAGTATCAGGAAGTTGAAAGTGGTTTTGCCTTTGCAATTTGTAAAGCCAAAATGCGGTGGGTATTAGGAGATGGAGAGGATTTATCTGTGGAGTTAAGGGAAAGGAGGGACTTTCTATAAAATGCTTCATTATACATGACAGTATGCAACCTATCTTTTTCAACATATTATACTTTGTAGCTCAGATAAAGTTGATACACATCATCTATTAATGATTGCTTAGTATTTCATTGCTTGTATATACCATAATTTAAACATAATCAAACACTTATTTCTATTTTGTATGGAAAGAAACTAGA